CCCTGGCCCGAATTCCAGGAACCTTGACCCAGCAGAGTGCACGCAGGAGGCAAAACACATCCCCTTCCCTTAGGTCTGTTGGCTCAGGTGCTTGCCAGCCTCCCTGCCTCGGTGGCTCCTTCAGGACCCGGCTCTGCAGGCCTGGACCACCCTTGGTGCCCACAGCGACTGGGTGCCAGCCCTGCATGTCACAGCAAGCCACCGCTGTCCCCATTCCCTTCCCTGAAGCAGCCAGCTCGTGCTCTCTGCCCAGACCCTGCAAGCCTGGGCCACCAGGAGCACAGAGCTCTGCGGGGCGGTCTAACTGGGTGGCTGTGTGGGCAGCGTGCCTGCCGTGGAGGTCAGAGTGAGGGAGGTGAGCTGAGAACAGAATGGGGCACTGAGGGCGCAGAGAGGATGAGCCAGGGGCCGTGGTGACTGGTGAAGAGTTGGTGTGTGAGGGGCAGAGGGGACCCTGCTCCAACCTGGGGTCTCCCAGGCCCGTGGGCAGGGCCGCCAGGGAGGCTGAGATGGACTTCTGTGGAAAGGGCAGGGAGCTCAGAAAAGAGGCCAGAAGCCGGGCGTGGTGGTACATGCCTGTAATCCCAGCACTTAGGAGGCTGAGGCAGGAGGATCGCTGTGAGTTCAAGACCAGCCTGGGCTACACAGTGAGTTCCAGGTCAGTGTCAAGTACATAGTGAGACCCTGTCTCAAAAAAAAAAAAAAAAGAAAAGAAAAGAAAAGAAAGAAAGAAAGAAAAGAAAAGAGGCCAGATTTGAGCCCTCTTGCTCTGTCATCCATCCAGAGAAGTGGTCCGAAGTCAGCTGTGGCATCGCAGGCCTGTAATACCCTCTAGAGGCTGAGGAAGGAGGATTGCTGGGAATTCAAGTCCAGTCTGGGCCACATAGTGAGTTCATGGCCAGCTTGAACCACATAGTGAGGCCCTGTCTCAAAAAAACCCAACTAGGGCCGGGGATTTAGCTTAGTGATTCCACCACCTGCTTCACAAGTACAAGGTCCTGTGTTTGATCTCTGGCACGAAAAAACCCCCCAAAACAACCAAATAAATGAATAACGTGTGGGCTGGAGCGTAGCTCTCTGGAAGAGTGCCTGCCTAGCATTCATGAGGCCCTGAGTTCATTCCTAGTACTGAGAAAAACAAGAGATTAAAAAATAATAATGATGAGCATAATTCCACTCCAACAGAAATCACACCTGTGCTTCCAGAAGGCAGGTTAAGGTCTTTGTATCATCTCCAATATGAAAATTACCCATCAACAGTACAGAAGATAAGTAAATGGTGATTTATTATTTGTAATTTCAAAAAGTAACGAGAACAAAGGAGTTTTGGCTATGACTGCACAATAATCTGAATAGCTCTCATAAAAATGGTGTTAAGGGGCTGGGGAATTAGCTCAGTGGCGCCGTGCCTGCCTTGTAGGCACAAGGTCCTGGGTTTGATCCCTGGTACCAGAAATGACAATGGTGTCAAATGTAGAAGCCAAGGCTGGGGCTGCCGCTCCAGGGGAGATGGGAAAGCTGTCCTGTGTGACCCCATGGGATGCGTAACATGGGCAAAACCAGCCGAGTTGTTAGATGTCAAGAGGATGGCCCGTTGGCAGGGTTATGGTGACAGCTCTGGTCGTGAGAGAGAGCGCCTGAGGTCTTATAATGTTTCGTCTTTTGATTTCAGTGCTGATTACATGATGTGTTCAGTTTATCAAAAATCCATCAAGCAAGCCAAGCGTGGTGGCACATACCTCCAGTTCCAGTACTCTGGAGGCTGAGGCAGGAAGATCGCCATGAATTCAAGGCCACCCTCAGCTACCCATTGGAGTTCAAGGCCCACCTGGACTACCTACCAAGACCCCATCTAAAAAAAAAAAAAAAAAAAATCTGGGTGTGGTGGTGCACGTCTATAATCCCAGCACTCGGGAGGCTGAGGCAGGAGGATCGCTGAGTTCAAACCAGCCTGGGCTACATAGTGAGTTCCAGGTCAGTCTCAACTACATAGTGAGACCCTGTCTCAAACCCCCTCCCCCCTCAAAAAAGAAAAAATAATCCATTAAGCGAGCATTTAAAATATGCATACTTGTCTGGGTAATAGTACCTACCTGTGATCACCCTACTCTGGGAGGCTGAAGCAGGAGGTTCTTAAGTTTGAGCCCAGCCTGGACAATTTAGCAACTTAGCAAGACCTTGTCAAAAAATAAAAAATAAAATTTTAAAAAAGCCCAGAGAGGGCCAAGGGATTTAGCTCAGCGGTTCAGTGGCCTGCCTTGGAAGCGCAAAGACCCGAGTTTGATCCCCAGTACCAAAAAAAAAGGCCCGGAGAACGTAGCTCAGTACAAAGGCCTTGGTTCAATTCTCGGTACTGAAAACAGAAAAGAAAAGAAGGAAAAGAAAAGAAAGCATCCTACTCTGAGTATGATACCATATATAAAGTTTTTAAAGGCTTGTAGGGTTTAAACTAGCATTGATGTTTCCATAATAATCTAAATTTAGCAACAGATTATCCTATCTACTTAATAGTGTTTAAAAAAAAATAAAAGCAGCATATAGTATTTCTGGGAAAACACGTTAATAAGTAATACTGGGGGGCTGGAGATTTAGCTCAGTGGTTCCGCCGCCTGCCTCACAAGTGCAAGGACCTGAGTCCGATCCCTGGTACAAAAAAAAAAAGTAATACTGGGAAAGCCAAGAAAGTATGTTTCGGGTTTTTTTTTTGTTTTGTTTTTTTGGTTTTTTGAGACAGGGTCTTACTATGTTGTTGAGACTGACCTGGAACTCACTATGTAGCTCAGGCTGGTCTCGAACTCACAGCAATCCTCCTGCCTCAGCCTCCCGAGTGCTGGGATTACAGGCATGCGCCACCACACCTGGCAGTATATTTATGATATTCTAATTTTTTTTTTTGGTACCGGGGATTGAACTCAGGAGTATGTTTCTTATTTCTGCCTTAGAAGCTACCCTACAAAAGAAATGACCCCAGTTTGGGCTGTGGTAGGAGTTTTCGCCTGTAGAACCCAACATGTGAGCTCTCCCACATCCAGTTCTCTGTGCCATTCACCCTCCAGTTGTCTCAGGCATGGATAAAAACTCCCCGGAATCAAAGCCAAGAGCGTCTCCTAACATGCTGCCAACTGTGTCTCTGTGTCTGGCTTGCTGCGTGTGAGGTTTTGGTCCAGAAGGAGCCCAAGCCTGGCCTGCTGCTCCCACAGGAAACTAGAACCCAGTTGTGGCCACCTGCTTCACCTTGTGATTTCCAAGAAACCTGGAATGGTGGCGCATACCTGTACTCCCAGCCCTCAGGAGGCTGAGGCAGGGGGATTGCCATGAGTTCAAGGCCAGCCTGAACCATATAACAAGGCCCTGTCTTAAAAACAAAAACAAACAAAACAGTCAAATTCCACTTTAAAAAGAAAAATAGTGTTAGAAGCTGAGCATGGTGGCTCACGCCTGTAATCCCTGCCCTTGGGAGGCAGAGGCAGGAGGACTGCCGAGAGTTTGAAGCCAACCTGAGCTACATAATGAGTTCAGGGTCAGCCTGAACTACAAAGTGAGATCCTGACTCAAACAACAAAACAAAACAAAAAAATAGCATTAGAGATTGAACCCAGGCCCTCATGCATACAAGCAAGCACCTTAACACTGAGCTGCATCCTCCCTCCCGATTGCTGGCATTACAGGTGTGTGCCACCCCGGCCAGTGACATCTGAGTACCTCTTATGCCCTAGGCACTGGCAGTAAGGCAGTGAACACAGTTGCCAGCCCTACAAAGTCAAGTCTATTTTTTAAAAACTTCCTCATGAAATTAAACCCAGGCCTGAATTCTCATGGGCCAACTCCCAGAGGGCACCTTTGGGTGGGGCTGTGCTCAGTCTCTGATCCTCTGGAAGCTCTTACCTGGCTTCAGTCCCATCTGCCCTCCCAGGGCCCGGGTATTACAATCCCTACCTAAGTCGCTGATGAGTGTTTACTTTAGTATTGGAGCTGAGACCAGCTGGGTCACTGGTCCTCCTGCTCCAACTCCTCAACTTCCTCCCTTTGCATTGGAAACAAAACATGTCTCAAACCCTCCCCAAATCCCTTTAAGAACAGACAGAGGGGGCTGGGGATTTGGCTCAGTGGTTCCGCTGCCCACGTGGCAAGTGCAAGGACCTGAGTTTGATCCCTGGTACCAAAAAAAAAAAGGAATAGACAGTGAAGTTGCTCCCCTTTTTGGCCCGGGCATGTGGGGCGTGGGCCGGGAAGACAAATCAGCACTGGAGCTTTGGAGATGACTAAATGCCTGGCTGGTTCCTGTGTTTATGAGCCAATTGCATCAGTAGGAGTTGTGAGAACTCTTTCAGTTCCTTCTGGGAGCCTCTGCTTCCTCCAGGGCTGGGGTGTGGCCATGGGCAGCCTGGGGGTGACACTGGGGTGGCACCGGTCTCTGCTTGGGTTGGCAGCTCACTATCCCCGTGGGCACTCAGCCTGCTTGGGCATTCTTAATGCCCGCTGATTTATTTTCAGTGTTAGATTCGTGGGTATCAAAGATCACCCCCATGCGCCTCACTGAACGACACATAAAAGCCCTGGGCTTTTCCTTCTCAGGGCCGGTCCTTCTGCGGCTGTTGAGGGACTTCTTGCCACTCAGGCACGGCTCCTTTTGCCTGTTGCTCTGGGCCGCTGGAGCCCCCCTTGCCAACCGTCTTTTCCTGCCGGTTACCTCTGCTTTACGACGTTCCCAGAGGGAGAGCCCCAGCCCAGGCGCCCTGTGGAGCAGAGGGTCTTCTGTCATCCAGGTGCCCAGGCCAGTCTGTCGGCCAACAAGAGCCTCTCCCAGGGCTGCCATCTGCCTGTTCTGACCTTGAACTAAAGGCTCAAAAGAGAGAAAATGACCTGCAGAGGAGCCCAGAACCTGATCCAAGCAGGGGCGTCCCTGGCTCCTCAGGAAAGACCCAGTGGCCTCTTCCTTAGGAGGCAGGGACAGTGCCCCCACCCTGGCACAGCTCAGCTTATGTCTCCTCTCCCCGCAGTTCTGCAGAGACAGAATACACTGTCCCCTCGCCTGTCGGGGGCCTCAGCTACGTCCAGGGCCCTACCCGAGTTCCTCTGATCAACAACACCGTGGGCCAGTGCCTGGACACCTCAGCGCAGAGGTTCCCCAACCGAGAGGCCCTAGTCGTCCTCCACGAGGACATCAGGGTGACCTTCGCCCAGCTCAAGGAGCAGGTGCGTCCTGACCTCGAACCCTTAGCATAGAGGGATGGGTTCCCAGGCCCCACTGGTTGGGTGCAGATGGAGAGGCGCATGTGACTCTGGTGGTGCCAAGGCCTCAAGAGCTGGCAGAAGGGTCGGGGCTGAGGCACAGGGGGATGCCTGGGAGCTCCTGGGGGACTTGTTGGCTCCACTGCCAACCTGCTCAGCCCTGTCCCTTTATCCCTGGTGATTCTGATGTGGGCCGAGGACCGAGGGCAGGAGTAGGGGTCCCCTCCGCCTTCTGTCATCGTGCCCATCTGTTGGAACCAGGTGGACAAAGCTGCTTCCGGTCTGCTGAGCATTGGCCTCTCTAAAGGTGACCGGCTGGGCATGTGGGGGCCCAACTCCTATGGCTGGGTGCTCATGCAGCTGGCCACCGCCCAGGCAGGCATCGTTCTGGTGAGGAGGGGTTGGTCGGGCACTGGGACAGTTTCGGGGGGGTGTCACTCACGCTCCTGGCTCCTTGGCCCCAAACCACACCTGTGCCTGACTGGTTTCAGACCCAGCATTTCTTTCTCCTAAGGATCACCAGGGAGCTGGGGGGACAGGGGTCCTGCCCTGTGCCTTCTGAAAGTGGAGGGGCAGCAGAGGGTGCAGTGTCCGCTTAGGCCACTGAGGCACCCTCACTGTGCCCCCAGGTATCTGTGAACCCAGCCTACCAGGCTATGGAGCTGGAGTACGTCCTCAAAAAGGTAGGAGCCCTTCCTGCGGGAGGGACCCTGCCGGCCCGGCTGGGTGGTGGTTTCTTCCGGTTGTCACAGAAGCTGACCAGGGTGGGGGAGGCATGCCGGGTGACACCACAGAGTTGGTGTGGGACGAGGCCTCCGCCCCCTGGGGGGTATAGCTCAGACCCAAGGCTGGTGTGGGCACTGTGTATGTATTTGCGGTGGGGCGGGGTGTGCGTGTCCAGGGAGCCACGCATGTGGGGAGAGATGGTGAGGACCCCCAGAGGCCCCGTCTGGGGCTTCCTGCTGACCACAGCCGGGCGGGGGCTCCCCTTCCACAGGTGGGCTGCAAAGCCCTCGTGTTCCCCAAGCAATTCAAGACCCAGCAGTACTACAACATCCTGAAGCAGATCTGCCCCGAGCTGGACAAGGCCCAGCCAGGCGCCCTGAAGAGTAAGAGGTGGGTGTGTCCTGGACGTGGGGAGCAGATGACTGTGCCTGCTACAGACCTTGGGGTGCGGCCGGCCTCTCCCTGAGCCTGCCCTCAGGCCCTGGCTCTCCCCAGGCTCCCGGATCTGACCACCGTGATCTCGCTGGACTCCCCTCTGCCGGGGACCCTGCTGTTGGATGAGGTGGTGGCAGCAGGCAGCGCAGAGAAGCACCTGGCCCAGCTGCGGCGTACGCAGCAGTTTCTGTCCTGCTATGACCCCATCAACATCCAGTTCACCTCGGTAGGGCACAGGGGCAGGGCCCGGGCTGGCTGGGAAACAGCCACCTGTGTCCCCGGCACACCCTCCCCGCCCACCCCGCTCCCCGCTCCCCCTTCCCAGTCCCGTGCTTCTCTGGGCGGTGGCCGAGGATGGGAAGGAGGCCAAGCTGTCCCCTGCTTCTTTTCTCAGGGGACGACAGGCAGCCCCAAGGGGGCCACCCTCTCCCACCACAATATTGTGAACAACTCCAACCTGATCGGCCAGCGCCTGGGCCTGCCCCTGAAGGTGAGCTGCTAGCAGGGCTTCCAGGCGCCTGACCTCACCTGAGCTGGGGGCGGCTTTGTCGGGCGCCTCCTGCTGGCCAGAGGACTCCATGACAGACCTGGCCTCCTGTCTCCATCTCTAGCCGCCACAGGAGTTGCGGCTGGTCCTGCCCAGCCCCTTGTACCACTGTCTGGGCTCCGTGGGGGGCACAATGGTGTGTATGCTGCATGGTGCCACCCTCCTCCTGTCCTCTCCAAGCTTCAGTGGCGAGAAGGCGCTGGAAGCCATCAGCAGAGAGAAGTGGGCACTGGTGGACAGGCTACCTGTGGGCTGCTGAGACCTCCTACTCCTCTCTCCTGGGCCCTGACCCCTCCCCAGGCTATGGTCCCTCCAGTCTGGAGACCTAGGACTTGAGCTTCTGCCTTGAGCTTCTGCTTGTCCCCCTCAGCTTTGGCCTTCACAGTGGGGCGAGGTGGGGGGAGAGGGGCTTCCTTCACCTCCAAGCCTACTTTGGAGACGCCCCCTCTTTACACAGAGGCTCCATTCTGTACGGCACCCCCACGATGTTCGTGGATATCCTGAACCAGCCAGACTTCTTCAGTTATGACATCTCATCCATACGTGGAGGTGGGATGGGGCCAAGAACGGTCAGGAGTGGGGAGGGAACAGGAAAGGCACTATAGAAACACGGGTGGGAGCCGGGCATAGTGGCATACGTTGATGATCCCAGTGCTCTGGGAGGCTGAGGCAGGAGGATCATAAGTGCAAGTAAAGCCTGGGAACTTAGTGACTTAGTGTGAGCTTTTCAACAAAACAAAACAAAACATTTTTTTTAAAAGGTCTGGGGATACAGCTCAGTGCCAAGGCCCTGAGTTCCATCCTCAGTATTGCAAAAATAAATACATAAATAAAAAGACACTGTTGAAAAGGAGGCAAAGCCCCAGTGTCCTGTCCGTGGACACCAAGCCAAGGCCAGTCGTGGGGTACAGAACAGGCCGAGGGTCAGGAGAGGGAAGGGAATGTTCTCCCCTGGAGGGAGCAGCAAAGGGAGGTCTATCTGCTGGGCCTGCGGAAGGGGGCGCCAAGTCAGCCTCTCTCTGACCCAGGTTTGATCGCCGGCTCCCCTGCACCCCCAGAGCTGATCCGAGCCATCATCAACAAGATGGACATGAAGGAGCTGGCGGTGAGTGGTGGCCGGAACCGGGCTGTGGGCAGGGGAGGGAGAGTGACAGTGACGCCAGGTGGCCCTCTCTGAGGAAAGCAGAGGCGGGAGGCAGCTGACCTCCCCAGCACCTGGCGGGGCATGGAGGGAGAGGACGAGGGAGTTGATGTTATACACACATACATCTATTTTTAAAGAAACCTGGGGCGGAAGCAGTGCAGCATGGAAAGCTATGCCGCGAAGCGCAGTCAGACTGTCCTGGTGGGCGAGGGCAGTGGAGTTGGGCTGGGACAAGGGTCTGAGTTTGTCTCCAGATGGTAGACCGCCTCATTCTGCGGATGTGGGCAGTAGCTTCTCTGAGAGGAGCCCCAGCAGGGCCGGGTGTGATGGCTGGGGGTCTCTGTATCCTCCCCGGGCCCGGCGGGCGGCCTGCCGGGATGTAGGAGGCAGAGGCCGTGGGAGAAGGTGTGGGTGATGGTGGGAGGTCAGTAGTTTCTCCGGCGGAAGGCAGAGGCCGGTCACCAGGACTGGCCAGGTCGGGACCTGCAGGGGGGCAAGCATGGTCGTCAGGACCCCAGTGACCCACATGGGGTTGGGGGGTATGGTGAGTCCCAGGCAGGGTCCTTTCCTCCCTTGGAGCGGGGGCCCAGTCCTCCCCTCCTCTCCCTGCGAAAACGAGGCTCTGCGTGCCTGGCTCCCACCTGTTCAATGGCGACCAGCTTTCTTGGACCTCTTGGTGGGGGACTTGCAGCTGCGGAAGGCATCTGTGTCACGGATGTGCTGGCCCCTGAACTTGGCGGGTGACGCACAGGTGGCATCCGGGCGAGAAGTCTTGGCCTCCAGCCACCTGGAGAGACAGAGAGTTGCTGGGATGGGAGCCTTGGGTTGGGATAGACTTGAATCTGTCCTTTTTCTTTTCTTTCTTTCCCCCAGTAGCTGATTGAACCCAGGGCCTTTGCTCTAAGCCACATCCCCAGCCACCCTTCTTATTTATTTGTTTATTTATTTATTTTTTGGAGACAGGTTCACCCTAAGTCACTAAGTTGGACTGGGCTCCAATTTGCAATCCTCCTGCCTCAGCCTAGCACAGTACTGGGATTACAGATGTGCACCACCACACCCAGCTTCATCTTCATTATGAAAGCAGGGCAGCTGAGGCTCTAGCGCCTATCAGTAGAGCTAGGACGTCTGCCCAGGAAGTCCCACTGTAGGGCCATCAAACAGATACGTGTGGGGTGACCTGGGGCGTTCTCACCGCCGAAGGCCCCGGAGCTGGCAAGTACACTTCCAGGGGTTGCTGGTGAGGGTGAGGGCCTCCAGGTTGTCAAAGGGGAAGCTGGGCGGCAGCTGGTTCAGGCGGTTGTTCTCCAGATGGACGTGTTTCAGCGTGGTCACACCCAGGAAGGCACTGTCCGAGAACTGGGAAGGCGAGGGGGCAGGAGTGAGTGTCCAGCCCCAGGCCCATCCTCTCCCAGCTCTGTCTCCAAGAGGCAAGGTCTTCCCTTGTACGGAGCACTGGTACCTGGGCAGTTGCAGTTTCTTTCTTTTTCTTTTTTGTACCAGGGATTGAACTTGGGCCCTTGCGCTTGTGAGGCAGGCAGCATGCAGTTTCTTTCTCCCCCACCAGTTTTTTCCTTTTGGAGACAGGGTCTTGCTATGTAGTCCCGGCTGGCCTTGAACTGCTAGTGACCCTCTTACCTCATCCTCCCAAAGGCTGGGACGCTGGGCATGTGCCACCAAGCCTGGCTTGCAGTTGTACTTTCAAAGCAGAAAGCTGCTTTGACCAAGCTGCCTGGATGACCTAATCCCCGCGGCCCCCTTGGAGATAGGTGTTGTTTTCAAAGTATGGATGGCAAAATGGAAAAAGTTCCGTCCGTCCCTTGGCCAGGAGCACACTAGTGAGTCCACAGTAGCTGTGGGACCACACCCCATGCCCTGCACAAACACTAGACCTGGGGAAGCAGCCAGATTTAGACCCAGGAGCCCAGGCTGGCACACGGTGAACCTGGGCAGTGTTTGGTGAGGTGGGCAGTGGGCCCAGGGTCCCAGGACTTCCCCCCAGCTCTGTCCTCAGTGCTCCCTTGCTGCCTGCCAGACGCTATTTGTGGAGCCACCTTGGTGGACTTTGGCCAGGTTGGCGGCTCCAAAGGAAATGTCCTATTGGTGCCCACATCTTGGCCCTGGCATTACATTTTCTGTCTGGCCTCCCTTGCCCCAAATCAGCCCAACAGGCTGTTCTGCTGCCCTTCAGACCACTCTTGCTCTGGTGGGCACAGTGGCTACCTCCTGTAACCGGGGTGGGGCCAGAGCAGGCTGTCTCCCAAAGGCTGGCTGCTGCCCATGCAGATCTGCCCTTGTCTCTGGGTTGAGGTGCCCAGAGGTGCCCTCTCCTGCAGCTTGGGTTGGGGTGTGACATTCTCTCTGAGACAGGGTCTCCTTCGGTAGTTCAGGCTGACCTCGAACTCACTATGGAGTGCAGGCTGGCCAAAAATTCAAGGTGACCCTCCTGCCTCAGCCTCCTGAATGTTGGGATGACAGGAGTGCCCCACCATGCCCAGCTGGGGTGTGATGTTCTTTAATAGCCAGGCTGTCCTGGTCCCTCCCCAACCTGGCTGAAGCCCCTGTGCCAGGGTGATTTTCCAGGCCCATCCAGTGTGACCCCACATGAGCAGTATGGGCATTCCGGGGTAGAGGATGAGGGAGGTGCACAGAGGACACAGGTCTGATAAGAGGGTGGCAGAGAGGAGCCAGGGGGATGTGAGGGGAACCCAGGGTCATGTGCCAAGGGTTGGCAGTGGCATCCTTGCCCTTGCTCTGCCATGGAGCCCATGGGCACCGTGCCTACAGCATTTGGCCCGTGCGCCTTGATTTCCCCACTCAGTTGGGAAGGCACCTGAGGATTCAGAGGATTGTGGGTGGTAGAGCAGTGGGGCCCAGGGCACAGCACACCTGCCTGGCCTCTGGGGCTGAGGAGGTCTTCCTGGGGGTATCTGCTCGCCCTCCCTCCTGGCCTTCTGGTCCACCTGAGCTGGCCCCCGCTAGAAACAGGGTCCCTTTGTGGGCCTGATTTTCCCAACTCTTTAGCAAACAAACCCCCCTTTATGGGGCGCTGGGTGTGCTGGAGACTGGGCGGACCTGGAGGAGGGGCAGAAGGCAGGCTCCGCCAGAAGAGGTGGCTGCCACTCCAGGCAGGGTTTGAGAGCTTGGGGCCATTTGTGGGGCCAAGGCAGCCCCCACTTCTCCCAGGAGGACTCACGTGGCTGAGATGAGGAGCTGGACAGGGATGAGGGTGCCAGTGGGGAGGGTGCCGGGACACAGGAGGGAGGGCGGAGACCTGAGCCACAGGAATGGGGTGGCACAGTATGGTGCCCAGCTGGGCTCCCTCCCCCAGGCCTCCAGGTGGGGCGGAAGGAGCCAGGCCAGAGCTCTGCCGTGGGCACTCACCTTCTCCAGGCTGGTGTTGTCCAGCCACAGGGTCTCCAGGTAGCGGCCAAAGGACTGGAAGGCGCTGTCAGGAATGCTTTTTAGCGGGTTGTGTGACAGCTTCAGCTCCTCCACCACGCGCAGCTTGCTCAGGGCGGCAGCCGGGTAGCTGGACAGCTGATTCCTGTCCAGGTAGAACTTGGCCAGGTTCTCCACATCGTCCAGGGCGCCGGGCTGCAGGGAGCTGAGCCCATTTTCCGACAGGTAGAGCCAGCGCAGGTCCTTGGCTCCCTGGAAGGCGCCTGCCCGCAGCTCTCGGATCTTGTTGTTGCTGAGCTGCAGGATGAAGAGGTTCACCAGAGGGGACAGCAGCCCCCGGGGCAGCTCGGTCACTTTGTTGTGGTCCAGGTAGAGGTAGGTGAGCTCTGTCAGGTCGTCGAAGGCGCCGGCGCGCAGCGTGCGGATGTCGTTGTGGGACAGGTACAGGTAGATGAGCTGCTTGAGACCCCGGAAGGCGCCAGCGGCCACCTCGCGGATCTGGCAGTGCTGCAGGTGCAGCGACACCAGGTTAGGCATGGCACGGAACGAGCTGGCAGCCAACACTGGGAAGTTGTTGCGCTGTAGGTTGAGCAGCTTGGTCTTCTCCGACACCTTGGGGATCTTCTGCAGCCCCACCTTGTCACAGATGACGTGCTGCAGGTCACCGTGGCAGTGGCAGTTCTGGGGGCAGGCGGCCAGTGCCGGCAGCAGGCCGGCCAGGAGGCCGATGCCG